TCTTCGCAAATTATTCAATCGTTAATCGGTCAATAGTTATTAATCTTATTTTACTGGTAGTATGTTCAGCCGAAAAAAGTAATTAAATGCAAGTGTTGAAACTGAAAATCGGCAGCGTTTCAGTATCACTTACTTACTTCAGGCAGTTTACCTGTATTCATTCAGACACATAAAGACCGTACGAGAGTGTTGCAGGGACAGTAGGCATCCTGGTATAAAACACGAGATGGACTGAAGCATTAAGATCAGAAAACCCAGAGGCAAAAATAAACAAAGTGTTGTGGTTAGAAAAGGATTGAATGCGAGCTATGAAAAACTTAAATGACACATTTTCCAAAAATGTCTTAAACAAAGTGAGTTCAAACTAACAAGGATAACACTCAAAAAGAAACTATAAACTTTTCGTTTGTCGAGTGAAAAAATTTGACCGCAGAAGGAAATAACTGCTTCAATTGCGTAGAATTGACTCGTATTTCAGGTTATGCTCAAACTTTTATGGGGTAAAAAAATTTCAGGAAGGTTGCTACATTACTAATAGGCAAACCGTAAAAATGGAGTTGATTTCTCATGCAAATAAAAACGCTACAGCAATCAAAATTGCTTGACTCATCATCTCTCAAATCTAACAAGAAAAAGGTTGATTGGTACGCTGAAATGGAACTTGGCTGTATACTTAAATTTTATACCTCATTGAATCAGCTCGATCGGGATAGATTTGCTCCTAGTACTAAGCACCAGACCTTAACCCTACGATGAAAACTTCGCTATCGTTTCCCTGATATATTTTCGTAAAAAATTATACAAGCCTGCGCCCAGATTAAGGACAATTTTCTTGAAAACTAAAAATATAAATTTAATTATAGAAACTGCTGCAACAGAATTGACAAGTCTGTCAACAACCTCTCATAAAAGACTTAAAAAGGAAGACGTCTTCCATTTTCTTAACCCTTTACACCGGTACCATAATATCAGTATGGATATTCTCCACACTGTACTTTATACATTTCCTAAGGTGCTGACAAGGAGAATTTGTTTGCCAATCAAAAGATTCCTTCCCTGATGAGCATTTTCTTTATTCTCTTGACCTTAATGTTTGATTCAGGGCTGATATTTTAGGGAGAAATTAGGTGCTAGACACTCTTAGGGTTTAAAGGATTAATAGTATTTCAAACTATTCTGACTGACTATTCCGTTATTTACACAGTTGGCTGCAACAATGTTGTCATAGGAAACTTTAAAAAAGCAGCAAAGAAAATCGGAAAGAGCAAAAAGAAAAATTATGGCTAAACAAGGGGGGAGTCTTCATTTATCACCTGTAAAAGGGGGAGGTGTGGGTGGAGGATTTTTGAAAGATCACATGGTTTTCAGGGTGAGGTTAGATCTTGGGAAGCTGTTTGTCAAATCTCATTGAAAATATTTTCGGATATATGACCTCTAAGTTGAGCAATT